CCTGAAGTTGTCCCAGAGGTTTCTTACATTATCTTCAACTTTCTGGATTCTCTTGCCTTCTTGCTTCTGCGGAGGAGTGTCTTCTGGCTCTTTATGTTCCAAATCTTTGACTTGATTCTTGCAATCTTCCATTCTGTTTTTAGGACTCTGTATAATATTTTTTTTTTATTTCAGACAATGTGTTCTTTATTTCTTGTTGATCCCTTATTATTTCTTGTTGACTCCTTATTATTTCTAGTTGATCCCTTTTCATATCCTCATAGGTCTTATCTATCTATTCTAGGAAATTCTTGAAAAAAACCTTATAAGCATGGTTTTGAACTCTATATCCAGTTGCTTTTTGTCCTCCATTTCTTTCGTTTGTGATTTATTTTTTTGTCTCGGCATTTTCACAACTTCCCTGAGTTGGTAGCCTTAAAGGTCTCTGTGTTCTGCTTGGATGGGGCAGTGTTTCAGGGTGGAGCCTACAGCCTTGGCTTCTGTCAGCCATGCCCTATGCGGCTCCTGAGTTTCAGTGTTTCTCAGGGTCCTTAGGTACTCGCTGCAAGCACATTTGAGAGTGAGGTGCCCTCGAGTTTCGCCTGTTACCAAACAGTCTAGTCTCTCCCCCAATGAGCCCGGAACTGGGGTTTGGTTTGGTTGGAAGTGGAGTTAGAGGTGGCGTTCAGAGAAGTCTGGAGCTTTTGTCTCCTTCCTGCCAGGGCAATCCCACGGCACAGCCAACCATCTATTCTCTGCACACAATGTGTATGCCTCCGGGACCTCCTTTCGATGCTTCCCTGGGCTTCTGTCTTACAGCCCAGCTCCCTCTGTATGAGCCTGGGTCCCCGGGGTCTGGCCTAGAACTGGGGTTCAGAGCAGTTGGAACTGGGGCTCAGCACAGTCCAGAGCTTTTATCTCCTTCCCACTAGGAAACGCCAGCCAGGCACTCAGCCTCCCCATCCTCTCCGGCTCCATCCTTTCTGTGCGCAACGTGTCTCCATACCTTAGGATTTTACAGCTCCTCTGATTTTCCTTCTGGTTTTCTCTTTCCTTCTTGTTGTAGAATTTCCAGTCAGTCAACTTTCCTGTAGTTCTGGGTAATGTCCATTTTATATTTTAGTTGTATTTTATTGAAATTGTTGTGTGCAGCTGTGGTTAGGTGTTTACTTGTGCAGCCATCTTGGATTCCTCCTCCATAACCTCCATATTTTAATCCCTTGACTATCACACAATGTTACTAGAAACGTAAACCTACATGTAAACACTCATTCATGAGAACTGAAAGGTCTACCTAGGAGCCAATATTCACATCATTCATGCCAACAGCAGCCAACCCCAATTTTCTTTCATTGGCAATACCATAACAGCCTAAGTTCTATAATACTTCCCTTCAGCAATCTGAAGAACATTAGAGTATTACTAAAACAAAAAGTTATAGAATAATCAAATTCTCATTCTGAATGCAATTTGAGGCAACAGGGAATGCTTAGTTTCTAACAGAATAATCACTGGTATAGTAGACAGAGTATTAAAGCTCTAAGTTATGATTTAGGCTCTTTCATTAACAATCCTAATCTATTATTGTGCTATTTTATGCTATCTCATGCAATAGCAATTAGTCACATATGGCTAACAAACACCTGAAATGTGAATAGTGTGAATTGAGATGTGCTGTAAATATAGGATACTCACCAGATTTCAAAGACTTAGTAAATATATATACCGTATTTTCCGGCATATAAGATGACTTTTGAAACAAAAAAAAGTCAACCGAAAATCGGGGGCAAAAGACCAAAATTGTACAAAAATTACCTGCAGATCTTGACAGCAAAGTAAGTCTTTTCTTTGAAGTGGGGGGTAGTCTTATACAGCAAATATAGGCCTAAACCTATGTTTTAACTGTAAAATTAGGGGACCATCTTATATGCCAGAAAATAATTTTGTAGCGATAGTGTATTATATTATACTAGAGGCCCATTGCATGATATATGTGCAAGAATAAGCCTTCCTTCCCCTGGCTTCACTCCCAGCTGCCCAGGAGCCAGCACATCCCTGCTCCCTGGCCACCCAGGAGCTGGCAAGTCCTCACTTCTGTCTGGAGCACTGCTCCTGTAGCTCCCTCCGCCACCCTCCTTCCCATCATAGCAGGCATCCCATCCCTCCCAGCTGTTCTGTGTCTGCATATGCAAATTAACCCACCATCTTTGTTAGGTTAATTTGCATACTCACACTGATTGGCTATGGTTGTACATTCAATTTACATGTTTGTCTATTATTTTTTCCCATTTTTTATTAAGGTATTATATATGTACATATCTTACCATTGCCCCCTCCCACTCCCATAAATGACCTCCCTCCCTAGAGTTTTGTATCCATTGGTTATGGTTATATGCATGCATATAAGCCCTTCAGTTGATCTCTTATCTCCCCCATATCTCCCTACCCTCCCCGACTAGAGGCCCTATGCATGAAATTCATGCAAGAGTAGGCCTTTACAACCCCAGCTGCCTTGGCTGTCACAGCCCTGGCTTCATCTGGAAGGTTGTCTAGAAGGACATTCAGACAGTCATTCTGCTGTTCTGCAGTTTGGTCGATTTGCATATTATGCTTTTATTATTATGGATATTATATGATAATATTTTGAATAGATTGGATTAAATAAAATAGACTAAAATTAATTTCACTTTTACCTTTTTTTAAACTTTTTTTTTAGTGTGGCTAGTAGAAAATTTTTAATTATATGCATGGCTTGCATTTGTGTCTCACAATATATTTCTACTGGGCCATACTTGTCTAGAACAATTGTTCTCAATATCAAAGATTCTGTCTTGACCAGCCTGGAACCTGGGTTTTAGTGTTTGTTTTTTAAACTACTCAAGGGAATAATTTCATTGGGCAACTGAGAACCATTAGACTAGACTCTATATTATGTATTCTTGGGCCAGTCAATGGCGTTCTTAAACATTAGAATCATCCAATCCAAGTGGCTGCTTCAATTGTGCTCAGAGGAACACTCCTCCTGGCCTTGGATGTAGCAGCATTAATGCCAGCTCATTTATATTCTAAAGCCTGGCTCTGTCATTTGCCTCCCAGAGCCATTCTGCCTTGCTCAATCATTTTGTCCCACCCCTTGAGGTACTGTTTATTAAAAAAATAAAATTTGACTAAAAGTGAAATACATTTGGATTTGGGTGACATTGTCACAAGGTGCAATTTAATCCTTCTTTTAAAGAGGGGTGACTGTCGTTCTAAGACACACAAGCTGTTTGTATACAGGGCCTCAAAGACCCATAGCTATTGATGTGCTCTTTTTTACTACCCCTGGGGTCATCAATGAACAAAGCTGAGCTGGGATACAGATGGCATGTGAAGACCCTGTTGAAAGATGCCACATACATAGATAAAGAAGATTGGATATTTCATTAGGACATTCTCAGGACAGAGGGGATAAGATGTCACTTTGTCCACTTCTCTGTTTCTGTGCCCTCAGCTAAATCGTTCCAACCAGTTAACAGTGCTTCCTGGGTTTGCACCCTCCAAGGAAGGAGACTTCTTCCAACCAATATGGCCAGCCTTAATATATAGATCTTTTTGGATCTAATAAGGGGTTGGTAGTGATGAGGATGAGGATAAAGATGATAATTAAGCATATTAACATTTGTCAAGTACCCACTATATACCAAGCACTGTGCTAAACACTTTACTTATATATGTGGTTTTATTTAATCATTGTAAAAAGTCTGCTATTCCTATTGTTCAGATGAGAAAATTGGGTCTCAGAGAGATGAAAAGTCTTACCAAAAGCCATAGAGCTAGAAGATAATAAAACTGAGACAACCTCTCAGTTGTCTGATTCAAAATACCCTGCCCCTTCCTTCATGCCACACAGCTGTCATTCTAATTTCGAGGCCCTTCATCATCCAAAAGTCGAAACCACTCTGATCTTTGGTTTGGGTCAGGACTTGATCCTTATTTTACAGAAGAAATTAACAGAAGGTGATAGGCTGTGGTAAGGATAATGGTAAGACATCCTTACATGGCATTGGTACTTTGGTGGTCACAAAGTTGTAGTTTTGTTGTTGTTGTTGTTTGTTTGTTTTATGTGTATTTTCTCATTCATTATGACATCCCCGGGCATGAAAGAATTGCCAAGATCATTTTGTGGATGGGGAAAATCAGAGCTCATAATTCCCAAAGATCCAATTCAAGTTCTTACTTCTTAGATATGGTCAAAAGCTGGTCACCAGGCCAATGCTCTTTTCCCATATCATCTTATTAATTGGTGACTCAGAAGAAGTAGTAACTGCTAAGGAGCCCGCTTTCAATAGTTCCTTTTGTTAAGGGCCAGGTTCTTCATGGTACAATGTAAAATGGGCCAAGCCTTTGCAAGCCCAATCAGGCTGATTGCTTCCCACCCTCAGCACATCTTAGAAACCAGCCGCTTGAGTCTCTTGTAAAAAATAAGTTTTCAATCAGTAAACTATAGCCCCTGAGAAAATAAGGAGCCCACACTCATACATTAACAACTGAAGACAATCCTGAGACAATATACAGGTGTGTTCACACTTCCCAAAATGAGAGAAAGAAAGAACAGAAGAGTGAGGAGGAGAAAGGAGGGGAGAGATATGTAAAAAGAAAGAATGAAAAAGAGGAGACAAGGACAAAAAAAGACAGCAGAAAATAAGAGAGGTAAGAAAGTAAAATTCACAGAAATATGGTTTTAAAAGGTCTTTAAAAAAAAACATCAAGGCCAAAAGGCAAGTGATTTGTATAAAGTCACAGCAGGAGGCAGTAGGTGGGGATTGTTAAAATAAAAAAGAAAAAAAATTAAAAGTTTCAAAATTAGAAAGTAAAAAAATTAAAGGAAGCCTAGGTTTTGGGTAGGAGACCACAAAAAGAAGTAAAATGTGAGAGGAGCCTCCATGAGATAAATGATCAATAGAATAGGGGCTGGTGAGGGGAAATCCGGGGGCAGGCAGCCAAGGAGACAGGAGAGGAGAGTGAAGGCTGACACTCACCCTCACAAAGCTGGCAGGAAACCATCCCTCCTCATCGTCGATCTGGCCCCACCACCAATCCTTGTTGGAAGCATCCAAGACTTTGATGACGTCGCCAGCCTTAAATGCCAACTCCCGGTTGGCCATGGTGACGTGATCCCATACTGCCTCAGCACTAACGATGGAATCTCCAGTGATCAGCTTAGGAGACAAAATGAGAATGTTTTCAGTCCACACAGCTGGCTATCTTACTTGCCCCCTTATCCCACCCACAAAGCTCTACTACTTTATGGGAAGTCACATACTAGTGGTAAAGACTGGGGGTAAGAAAGATGGCACTGGAAGTATAAGCACCACTAAACTATAAGGCAAACAATACTGTCAACTACATTAGCCAGTGAGTGGGATGACCCAGAATGTGAATATGGACTACATAGGCCTCATGTTTTTATCCCTACTCATTATCTCCGCCCCCAGTGAAGAAAGAAAGCACCCGTCCATCTCTCCTTGGAGTTTCAAGGCATCTGAAGCTCTGGAAGGGGTAGAGAGACTGAAATCCATGCTAAAATGAGGCTCGAGAACATTTGCTCAAAATTCTCTGCACTCCTCTCCCTTTCCTTCTCTTCACTGTAACTGACTAACTGAGAGTTGGTGGTACATTTTTAACACCACTGTATCCCACCCCCAGAGGTTACAGACCATGGCATTCCTCACATACAATGGACCCCAGTCCTGCAGTCTCCTGGTTGCCACCCACACATGATGCCATCAGAGAGGTCATGGGTTTGAAAGAATATGGCTTTCTGTGATGACTTGCTCCAAAGAAACTCAACCTTGGCACAGATTCAATCAGTGATTTGTACAACCACCCTATGATACACATAGGGAGGTGTAGGTTGATTTCTGCATTTAATAGATGGCAAAACTGAGCCAAGGGAAATTAAGGGGTGAGCTCAGGGTCACCCAGCAAGGCTGGGGTTGTGAACCCTAACACTGGTCATTAAACTTTGTGGTCATTAGGACTGGGCTCCACACAGCATCAGGCAGACATCTATCTCTCTGACACATGAACACACACATGAACATGTTCACAACACTCATCTAATGAGGATGGGGTAGGGAAATAGTATGCCTCTTTCTGGCTACCATCCTGATCACTGTATTATTTGTTCTCTTTTTTCCTTAACTGGTTTCTGCCAGCATGGTCCATGAGTCTCCCTGGCATTTGCAGAAACAGATTCCAGAATAGAGAACATATGGCCTGTCAGGCAAAGGACTCAAATACTTTCTCCCCAGCAGTGAATAGCTGAACATTTCTTCTAGCAGTCACCTTTTTCATTAGTCTGCTTTAAGGAAGGACTAATTTCCCAAGGCAACATGGCTCTTGACAAAAACAGTTCAAAGACAACAGAAACAGGATATGGAACATAATATCCTGTCACACAGGTCTACCTTCCAACATACCAGCCAGAAAATAACACTACTGGTCAGATCCTGCCTCATGCATCCTTCATTGCTCAAGTTTCTAGCTATTGTGCCTTCCAGAGAAGGTAAGGTATGGGGGAGCTCCTCAGCATGGATGTAAAAGAGATTTCCAATAGGACCTTTTATAGCACCACCTTTCAAGCACCTCATGATTTACTGTTTACAAAGTGCTTTCAAATCTACTGCATCACATGATCCTTCCTGAATGAACTGTTTCCATATTTAAAGATGAAGAAACAGGTTCAAAGAGGCGGCCTGCAGGCCCGGTGCAGCTAGGCCCAGAGCAGCTGGGTCGGGTGCGGCCAGGCCCGGAGCAGCGGCTGCCAGGCTGGGAGCGGCCAGGCCTGGAGCAGCCGGGTCGGGTGTAGCCAGGCCTGGAGCAGCAGCTGCCAGGCTGGGAGCAGCCAGGCCCGGAGCAGCCGGGTCGGGTGCAGCCAGGCCCGGAGCAGCCTGGCCCAGAGCAGCTGGGTCGGGTGTGGTCAGGCCCGGAGCAGCAGCAGCCAAGCCCGGAGCAACCAGGTCAGGAGCGGCAGTGGCCAGACCCGGAGCAGCTGGTTGTGGAACGGACCAGAGCAACAGAGGCCAGGCCCAGAGCAGCCAGGCCCAGAACAGCTCGCTCCTTGCCTACCCCCGCCCCAAGGCTGCCTCTCAGAGATGGCTGAAAACTTTTGCGGGAACTTGAGGGTCTGCTGAATCAAGTGATGAAGGCTTAGATCTGGATATGTTGAGTTAGTATAGCACTGGGGTGTTGATGTGTGAGTGCCTTGTGCCGGGCCTGGATGAGGTTGGTTGACCTATTTGGAATGTCTTTTGTGTGAAGTGTATCTTTGGACATGTGGAGGTATTATTGATATGAGAAAATGCTAAGTAACTGATTTACTATCTGAAAAGTGATTTATTATCGGGGAAAGGGAGGGAGGAAGAGACTGAACATAAACTGTGCACCTATGGATGAGGACAATGGGGTAGGGGAAGGGGGCGGAGGGTGGGGCGGGAACCTGGTGGAGGGGGGAAGAAATGAGGAACCTTTGTAATAATATGAACAATAAAGATTGGTTAAAAAATAAATAAATAAATAAATAAAAAGAACAAAAAGAATAAAAATAAAAAATAAAAAGAGGCGGCCTGGCCCTTTGGCTAATCACACAAGCAATAAATTATGGAGTCTTATAACCTATCATACTGGACTACCAATGTTTACTAATTAGCTATACTGCATTCATATAACTCCATCCATAATATCATGAACCAGATGGCTCCTATTCTTAAAGAACTCAAACAGAGAGAATTGAACAGCCACCCTCAATGATGCTCCTACCTATGAGGAGATTTATTTTTATGTTGAACTTGCTTTTTTTCTAACTACACTAGAAGTCAATTTCTTCTTGTTCTCATCTCAGTGGAGAATTGCTGATCACTGGCCTCAATAAAGTAAATCATTATAGAAAAGTCTCTATAGGTACATATAACACCAACTCAGAGCATCATGAAGGTTTGTGGTTTAAAGCTACACCCTTGGCTTTTTACCAAGGGTCAAAAGAATATATTAGTATCAGTTACCAACACCCTGTTCAGGATGCTATCTGTGTGCTGTTTGAGGAGCCCTAAGCCCAATCTGGTTGATTCCACTGTCTGTGCTCTTTCTATAGTGGACTTTTCTTATTAGGGACTCTCTGCTCAGAAGCAGTTGCCTCACTCTTATACCCATTTAGTCCAGTTGACTTGTCTGGGACCTCAGGTCAGACAGCCCAGCTATGCCCTGGTCAAACCAATCCAGTACCCAGTGGCCACAAACCAATGGGCAAACCTATTGTCAAGACCTACTTGGAATCAATGATAGTCAGAACTATATAGCACTTTAAAGATCATCACCCATCAGCCATCATTTTGTAAATCAGGTATACTATAGCAGATGTGACCTGTTTATGGTCATCATGTGGTCCTATTTCTGGACCTATTTTGCCCCAATATAACACTGTATATAGAGGAGGCAGAAAAAATCACCTGGATTTAGGACCTTGCTCTACTTCTTGCTAAAGATATAATAATAATGATGTTGATATAAAGTACTTACTAGTAATAGGTCAGGCTCTATTCTAAGCACTTTACACACCTTAACTCACTTAAGACTCGCAACAACACTTTAAGGAGATACTAACATTATTACTATCTTACAGATGAACAAACTAAAGCTCAGAGAGGTTAAATAATTTGTTCACATTTACACAGCCAATAGGTATTGAAGCCATAATTAAAATGCAGACTCACTCTAGCTCTAGAGTTTCTGCTCTTATAAATTATGCTTCCTCTGGGCCTCAGTTTATTCACCTGATAAATGGAAATTCTATATCCCCACTTATTTCATGAGCTGTAAAACATTGAATCAAGATTTGACAAATGTGTGTTCATATAATGAGAGGAGGATTAACCTGAAAGAGATGCTAGGTGTATAGGGCACCTGTGCTCTCTATTCACAAATATAAGCAAGAGTCAAGTGATGCTTCCCCCCACCATCCTCTGAGTTCTTTTAACAGTTAACTAAAGTGGGGCTGGAAATTGGTTTTAAATCTCTTTTTTGTGTGTACAGGATTGATTTTTAACTTGCTACACTTTCCCCCCCACAAATAAGCACTTTTCTCTGCTCATCCATTTATCATCCAACTCTCAATCAAGTGAACTCCCACTAGGTGTAGGGCTCTACTTACTGTGATTCAGTCTTTGTCCTTACTAATGTCAAATGCCCTTTGAGTACCATCAGTGAATTCCCTTCAAGGAGTATGCAGAAGTCATTAAGGGCAGGTAAACCTGGCTTCAATTTCTGGGCTTTGCTACTTTAGAAAGCAGCAGTGACAAAGGGAGATGAGGAACAGACAAAAGCCAGAAAAACAAATCAAAATAAATGTTTAGCATGTAATTGGAATACAAAAAAGTACAATACCTGCCTCACAGGCAGAATTATAGACAGGGTGAACTGAGTGCTGAATGTCCAGTGACTAGTACAAAACCTATATATGCTGGTCTAGTTCAAGATTTCAGAGGAAGGAAGGATCATATGTGCTTACTGGACTCTAGAAGTGTTGAGGGGCACTTAATACAGGCTTTAAAAATGAATAGGATTATAAAATATACAAAAGGGAACAGGTAAGGTATTTGAGGCAGAGGAATGACATTAAAGTCTCAGAGGTGAAGACTATGTGAGCTTTGATGGCAAATGTAGAAGTTTAAAAAGGGCTGGAAAAGGGCAGTTGGGGGTGGAAGGATGGCTGAAAGGGTGGGCTGGAGTCTGTATGAAGGTTCTTAAAACTAGCTTTAGGAAAATGAGGAAGTCAAAATTGATTTGGTGTGTGGGAGGGGATTCAATCCTAAACATGATCATTAAAACATGAGGGTAAGTTACTCTACAATGCTAGCTTAGGAGGGGAAGAAAGATGACAAATATTCTCTTTAATTTGTTGACTGTAGGGGCCAGCAATATATGCAGGTAGGTTTTAAGGTCAAGAGAGGTTATAGGAAATAGCTATACAGGTTTAGGAGTCCATGGCCCAGAAGAAATTGTGGAAACCAAAGAAGTTTGCTCTAGAAGAAAATGCTTAGAAAGAAGTCCAGAAACCTAGGGCAACAACAACAATGGGAGGTATGGATAAAAAGAATATCCAGAGAAACAAAACTAAATAGAGCTGTCATCACATAATTAGAATGCCAAGGAATACAATCTC